AAAGGTTCCAGTACCCCAAACTCCAGTTTACGTTTCTAGCTAGTCTGTGATGCCCTATTTCAGGATATTCTCCTTTCTTCTGGATTTCAGCATTCCATGTCTACTAAGCAGGCTTACTCTTCACTGCTCCTTAAAGTGTTTTTCATACTTCAGGAAATATTAGGGTGTTTTCAAGCCTGCAGTTCCCTCCCTCATGTGTAGAAAGCTCCACACTCAGAAGATTTCACTCTGTGTGTTTGTGCATGCACGTGCATGCACATACATGCATTGTCTAAAATCTGTATGTTCAGAATAAGCCTTTCCTCCAGGCAACCACTGGGGTCTAATATGAGATGCTTGGGGCCTAGCATTCAGACGGATAACCTGCTTATCCCAGAGAAAAACCAGCCCCTGTCACTTCCAAAGAACTGTCTGGTAGGGAAAAAAGAAAGAAGAATCTACGTATTTGACCTGGCTGAATTACCATCTGTCCCATCCGAGTCTGTTGATCCCACTAATCTTTTCCATAACATAGTACATCAGGTTTTACTGAAAGGCAACAGAAAGAGGAGTACGTTATCATGTGCAATGAAGCGCATGCGGCAAGACTTACTTCTGTTGTTTGGAGAAGAGGACCAGGGATAACATCACCATCAAGCCAAGTATTCCGAAGGCCATCACCAAAGGCCAAGGGATTTGGAACTCTGAAACAACATAGTAAGTGCAGAGATAGATGTGCCATGTACTAGTTGCTTTCTCATTCCTTGCTGAAACGTCTTGCCCCTGTATGCTAATATATTCAACTGTAAACTTTTTTTAGTGTTCTTGTAAGCAGATCTCAAGGCAAGAACTTTCTAAGCTGATTAGCATACATAATTTTTACTTGGCAGAAAGGCCTTCATGGAGGTTCTTGTGTGTGTGTGTGTGTTCTTTACTGTCTAGTCAGAACCAACTTATTGACCCTAAGAGAGCTTTCAAGATAAGTGAGATATTTCATGAATGTTTTTTCCAGTTCCACTCACCCAGTCAGTTTCTGTGGCTGAGCAGAAATTCAAACCCTGTTTTCGAGAATCCTAGTCTATCACTCTATCCACTAAACCACCTTGGGGGTCTTTACTGTGATGCTTTTTCAGCCTTTTTTTGCTGAGGTCAACAGTCTGGCCCTAAGTCTTGCGAAAGTCACCTTCCACTCCCCCAATTTAAACATCTCAAAATTCTGTCAAGATCACATATACTATGGTTGATCTTGGCCAATCGCTCTCATGGGAGGCCTAGTAGGAATTTGAAGTCCTGTCCCCATCTATTCACTAAGCTCTATTAGTTTCACTGTAGATGGGGATCGCAAGGGTAAAAATAGGACTGCACCTACTGCATTTTTCCATGTATAAGATTATACTTTTGTCTAAAATGTTTAATTAAAAATTCAGGGTCGTCTTATACATGAAAGTAAGTGGAGAAAGTGGAGGGGGAAAGCAGGAATCATCAAAGCGCTTTGATTCCTGCTTTCCCCCTCCACTTTCTTGCGAGGAAAGTGCTTTCCCCTCTTCGGAAGAAAGAAATGTTGGGTTAGAAAAGTGTATGTGTGTTATACATGGGAGCGTCTCATAGATAGAAAAATGTGGTAATTGTTGAGATGATTTAGTACAGACTACTTCAAATGTCACTTGTCAGTAGATCATCTGCTGCTTAATGAAACCTGGAAAGAGATTAACTGAGATGTTTCTACAAAAATAATATCATGTGCCATCAAGTCAATTTTGACTTATGACAGTCCTTTCCAGAGTTTTCTAGGTAATGAGTATCTATTCCCTTCCCTTCACCATTCCCTTCTTCTGGGGGAGCCCTGGGGCTGTGCAGCTTGTTCAAGGCGACTTACAGGAGGCACACTGGGGAATCAAACTCACAATCTTTGGCTCCACAGCCAGATATCTAAACCACTGAGCTATCTAGCCAACTGCTTATTGGTGTTGCCGATTCAATGCATGAGAAAAGATCCCAAATTAATGCTCTTCTTTGTTTTACTGAATGAAAGCTATCCCCGCTCCACTGCCCCACATTTTGAGACCATATTTCTTGTAGCATACTAGGTTTCATGGCATGATTCCAGTTTCTTTTTTGTTCCACATGTCCTGTGCAAGTAAAGATTAAACAAGCCATGCGGACAAACACAACATTAATGAATTCTGCCCAGGGACACACTAGCTGGCTCTACTTGCAGAAGGAACAATGGGGAATAGACATGGGCACTTCCAAGGGATATGAATACGAAGTGTCACAGTGGTCCATTCCCGCCCTCCAGGACTAGCCTGGTCCACTCACTGGGCTCTACCTACCTACCTACCTACCTACCTACCTACCTACCTACCTACCTCCCTAACTACCTACCTACCTACCTACCTACCTACCTACCTACCTACCTACCTATTTGATTTGTACCCCACCTATCTATGCGGTGCATGCGTCCATCAGCATCCTTGTTGCATTGATTGCGGAAGTAGTTCTGTCGGTGCTTCCCTGCCTCTCCCCACAGCCGACTACCAAGCAGCTGAACAGGGAGACTCATCTTCCTGCCTCCTCCCTGGAGTGGTTGGCTGTGGAGAGAAGTAGGAAGGTGCCGGCAGGACTGATTCTGTGATTGGCGCAATGACTATGCTGACAGATGTGCATACTTAGCAGAGCCCAGTGAGTGGACCAGGCTAGTACTGGGGGGGGCAGGAAAGGACCACCTGTAGTGCTGCATGTTGTATTTGTATCCCCTGGATATGAATATGGAATGCCCATGTCTAGTGGGGAATCAAACTCCCAACCTCCAGTTCTGCAGCCAGATACCTAAACTGCTGAGCTATTCAGCCAGCTTCTGGCTTAGGAAGCAGGCTCTTAATACAGCAAAGCATTTAGAAGCCAGCTGCATAGAAGACCTCCTTCTCTCACTTACCTTCCTCACATGGCACCAGTCCCGCTGAACCAAAAGACACATAAAGCACTTCACTGAACTCCCCATAAATTTCAGGCACTCCTTGTGCTCGGACGCGTATCTCATAGTCACGGCATGTCTTCAAAGCGTACACTGGAACTGTTGTGGCACGCTTTGGCTCCAGCTGTAAGGATAAATGGAAACGTTGGCTGCTTCTTCTTAAAATTTATAGCTTTATGCAATCAGTGAAAGGATGATGGGGTTAGGGTTTGATTGTTTAGGATACTAGAGCAGTAGCTTTTAAAACTACCAATGAAAGATGAAAAGCTAAAGTAAAAGGTGACAGAAATCGAATCAAAATTCCAAACGACACTTTTCAGTAACTTGTACATGGGAAAAATTATTATAATAATCAATGAAAACAAATAGAAGAGAACAGTGAAAAAGGAAAAAAAAAAGAGAGCTCTCTTCCATAATATCCAAGAAATCAAAGGGAAAATGAAAAAGGAAAAAAATGAAAAGAAATCAAAGGGAAATTTAAACCTGGATTTAGGATGCTGAAACATTAACAGGGAAATATCTGATCAGATATGGGTAAAATGAAGAGAAGATGGAAACTATACTAAAGAACTATACAAAAGAGAAGCAAGGATGACAGATTCATTTAAAGAATAATCATTTGATGAAGAGCCTGCTATTTTAGAATGCAAAGTTAGAGCTGTTCTTGAAACCACGGGGAGAAAAAAAATACTATATGGGATTGCAATAAAATTGTTTCCAGCTACAGAGACTGAATGTACCAAAATCCTAACAAACATATGGCAACAAATATAGAGAATGAAACAATGGTTCACAGTCTGGAAACATTCAATAGGCAATCCAATCTAAAAGAAAGGAAATGCCAAAGTCTGTAGTAACTAGAGGACCACTGCATTAATATCCCATGCAAGCAAAGTGATGCTTATAATTTCATAACAGAAGACTTTTACTATATATGGAGCACAAAGTGCCAGAAGAAAAACTTCCTTAAAGATGGAAGACAGGTTGGAGATGTTTGACTTCCAAAATGGAAAGGAATATAATTTCCTGGCAAGACTACAGAGATATCTGACACTCTTATTGTCTGGATATCCTGCAAATGGATTCCACATCACCACTATTTGTTACAGATCCTAGTTCGTGACAGACACCATTTGGAACAATGTTGTGTTAGTTGTGAAATCTGTTGGAAAATAATTCATGGTTTTGTATCTCTCTCTCTCTCTCTTTCTCTCTGTCTCTTGCATCTCTGCAGCAATTTAAATGATAAGAGAGAAACAGATTAATCCCTGTTCACTTTTTGTATTGGATTTCACCACTCAAAATAATTTGCTCTCATTTACAAGCTTGGCTCCAGACTGGTTATAAAGGAATGAAATAGCACATATTTTGCAAGACCTCTTCCCTCAGTCCCCCAATTTGCTTTTCTTTAGGGTGCAAATGGTCCATTCAGTCGTGGTTAGCACAGGGTCAGAATGGATGGTATCACCATAGCCTAAATTCTATTAAACTTGCTGAAGTCCTCTGAATATTTCTAGTCTTCTCCATAAGATGCTTAAACATATTCCTTCCAAACATGAAAGCATGTTGCTTTATGATGAAAAGTACAAAGCACTCTCAGCATGAAATTGTATATGCCAGTAATAGTTATTATGGTCTATATTTAGTAAATACTGAACTACATACATTTCAATTTTGTTTAAAATGAGTACTAAAATGAGCCATAATCTTCACTTAGTATTTTGTTTTTAAAGGGGAAGGGGAATAATATTATATCTCAGCTGAAGGGGAATAATATTATATCTCAGCTGAATTTGTGTTAATTTTAAATAACAAGTCCAATTAAAATTAAAGCTGTTATAATTAAGTCAAACCATCAACACTCTAGGAAAACTGGTATATAGAGGGTATGCTCATATTTATAATGAAAGAAGTTATGAAAGCATTTGCAACAACACTAGACAATTAAAATGTAAACCAATGATAAAGTTGTTATTGCTCTGCTGGGATAAAACAATGAACTGATGCCCAATAATTGTAATCAATGAATTGTTGCAGATTACAAACAGAATATGAGCCAAAAGTACAATGTGGCTGCAAAAAAGGCAAATGCTATTTTAGCTTGCATTAACAGTAGTCTCTAAATACTATGAAGTAATAGTTCCCCTCTATTCAGCACTGGTTAGTCCCCATTTTGAGCACTGTGTCCAGTTCTGGACACCACACTTTAAGAAGGTTGCTGACAAATTGGAACAAGTTCAGAGGAGGGCAACAAGGATGATCAAGGGAGTTGAAACCAAGTCCTATGAGAAAAGATTGAGGGACTTGGGATGTTTAGCCATGAGAAAAGAAGATTAAGGGGAGATATTTTCAAATACTTGAAAGGTAGTCATACAGAGGAGAAGCAAGATCTGCTCTCAATCATCCCAGGGTGCAGGACATGTAATAATGGGCTAAAGTTACAGAAAGCCAGGTTTTAATTGAACATGCAGAAACACTTCTTAACTGTTAGAGCACTATGAAAATGCAACTAATTATTTCGGTGGTAAGCACTCTAATGTAGGAGGCATTCAAGAGAAAATTAGACAACCAGCCATCTGACAGGTATATTTTAAATTGGATTCCTGCACTGAGCAAGGGATTGGATTCAATAGCCTTCCAAATCTATTTTTCTGTGGTTCTATGATAACAGAGTGAATGACCGTCAGTTTTGGAGGAACATGTTGTCACAGCAATGCCTCAGAGCTCCACTTAGTGCCATTCTTGCCTCCAATTAAGATATGGGACAATCTTCAGGGTCTCTGAGCAGGATCTCCTCCTATACTGTACATACCACTTTCCATTTAGTCTCATTGACATCCTTGTACTGAAGCTGGTAATGGAGTGTGATCCATCCATTCTGGACATCTGCGGAGGGCGGAGGCTTCCAGGTGACTTGAATATCTGTAAACATGCCTATTGGGCTAGTGTTTAGCACAGTCCAGTTGAGTCCAACAGGAGGATCCGGTATTACTGTGAATTAAAACATATTATAAAAAAATCATTTGTTTGCATAAAAGGAGACTCTATTCTCATGCACATGCAATAACATAAAGCAAATTCATATAGTACCCTTATGAATTCCTGGAATGTAAGATGGAGAACTGAATTGTTTCAATGATTACTGATCATTTGCCCTCTAGGTTGATGCGCCTGCTGGTCCTGTCCCTCTGTGGGCATGCATTCAGAATTAGCATGAACATGCCCTGTGTTAATAGAGATTTAGCCACATGGAGCATTTCGTCGCAAGCAGGGAACCATGGAGGAGGATGGTTAGACATCTGTTTACAGGAGCCAGCCAACCTGTCATTTCAATACTCTAGTTTTAATGCATATCTGAAGCATCAAGAGTACTTTACTTTATCAGTACTTTACTTTGACTTTAAGTCAAAGCATTGGTCCCTCTTGCTTCAGATTATCTTGCTTAATATTACTTATTCTGTTGTAGTTATATGCTGTCAAGTCACTTCCAACTCACAGGCAACCTTACGAATGGGTGATCTCCAAAATGTTCTTTCCTCAACATCCCTGCTCAGGTTCTGCAGGCTCAAGCCTGTGGCTTTTCTTTAGGGAGTCAGACCATCTCATATTTGGACATCCTCTTTCCCTACTGCCATCTACGTTTCGCACTATGATTATCTTTTCCTGAGAATCCTGCCTTCTCCAAGCATGACAGCCTCAGCCTCAACATTTTTAGCTCGATTCATGGTGGTCAGAAATACCAGAGTGTAGATTGTCTTAGATGACCTATTCCAGCTGTCTCCATCCAACCATGTCCGATTACAACCCTAGCCAACATGATCTACATATGTTCAGGCATTATAGGAGGCCAATAAAATAGTTTGCTGGTTTACTCTCACCAGCAATATCTTGAGAAGGGGTGTGAAATCCTTGGAATTGGAGGCCACAATGGGTCCCAGAACCCATTGTGCCCCTGTAACTTCTGTTATTAATGCTAAATTCACTGCTACTACAACAGCAGGCACTTTTTCCATTTTCCCCTTTAAAATAAGCTGCATGTTGCTGGACACTCCATGTTGCTAAAAATGCAATGAAGTTCTCATTGAAAAAGGGTGTCCAAACTGATGAAGGCACTTGGTGAAAAAGAGACAATCACTGCAAGATTATTTTTGCTGCTACTTAAGAGTAAAATTCTCATGAGAAGAGAAGACTCCTTGGAAAAAACCTTGATGTTGGGAAAGTGTGACGGCAAGAGGAGAAGGGGACGACCGAGGATGAGATGGCTGGACAGTGTCTGCAAAGCAACCAACATGAATTGAACACAACTCCAGGAGGCAGTGGAAGACAGGAGGGCCTGGCGTGCTCTGGTCCATGGGGTCACGAAGAGTCAGACACGACTAAATGACTAAACGACGATGAAGAGTAAAATCTCTTTTTTCATCAGAAACATCTGCCACAAAAACTGTAATTTTTCCACAAACACGTTTTACCCTATGCCTTTTGTGCAGAGTTTGATTTGATCTAGGATCTTGGATTTGATCTTCATGTATAAAATGCAAAGGCTTTTACACAAGGAACATTCCAATGGATGTTTCACAAAAAACTGCAAAAATGTGAAAATGTACAAAGATAACCATAATCTCAAGCAGTGGGGAGAAAACTTTTGAAATGTTTGATTCTTGCCAGAATAAAATAAACAAAGATCTGCATCTTCACATATTGCCTACTCCTGTTTTTACATTTCATACAGGGATCCTCCCAGCAATGAATTTTTTTTTCTGGGGAGAGGTACAGTGGATAAATTTAGGATTGCTGGCATTTGAAACATGTTCTATCATTAAGTTGTCACCTTACCTCTAAAATTAGTTAAGGCATTTCCATTTGAGATTTAGGGTAGAAATAATCATAGTTATTACTAAGATGTCATATTATTACACTGATCTGCAAAATTTCTGCAGGCTTGATATCAAAGTTAGAAATCTGAAAATGTATGTAAAATAGAGATCTATTTTATTTATGATAAATTATAAAGATGTTATAAGTGAATGAGAAAAAGTATTTTCTTGGACATGCCGGTTGGAGGACTCCAGAGGCAGTAATTAAAAAAAAAGCTTTCCAAACTGCATGAGGAATGTTTGTGTATTTGTTCGCAAAAAAGAAGGAAAATAAATTCCCACATACATATGAGTGAATTCATACAGTGGGCTATCTACTAGGGTCAGGGGAAAAGCAATCCTATAGAGTGAATTCATATAGTGGGCTATCTACTAGGGTCAGGGGAAAAATGCAACTCTTATTGTTAACTGGTTCATAAACAGTCAAGGCTGTTTTTTCACCAAAGTGTGAGTTGTGACTCCATTGGGTTCACTAAAAAAAGGATGAACACTGTCATGATTTCTGAAGCAATATGGGTCTGTTAAAAGAAGAGCAACACTTGAGAAGCAGAAGTCACTTGGTGGGAAGGGGGTGAGGAGCAGCGGAGAAGCCATGTAGGTGGCTACACCCCTGCTTCCCAACCCCTTCCCACCATAGTAAAAGTTGGGAAAGAAGATAGAAATCATTCAGGAGTTAATGAATTTGTGTAGTTTTTGTTTTGTTTTGAGGATTACAAAATACCTATTATTTAGAGTGCTGGTGTCAGGGGGTAACAGTGTTTGTGGAAACACAGCTATCCTTTTTCATTCTTCAAATGATCTTAAGAGAGAAGGCAGTGTCCTTTTCATACATACCATATTTTTCGCAAAATAAGACGCATTTTTTCACCAAAAAAGTGGGGGGAAGTGTGTGTGTCTTATGGAGCGAATACTGTCCCCCCACGCCACCATTGCTGGCTTCTGAGGCCTCCAGAGGCTTCAGAAGGCCCCGTGGGGGTCCCTCCATGCCACCATCACTGGCTTCTGAGGCCTCCAGAGGCCTCAGAAGGCCCTGTGGGGGTCCCCCTGCCACCATTGCTGGCTTTTGAGGACCTCCAGGAGGCTTTGGACCGGTAAGGTGCTGCTTTTTACTTTTTTAAAAAATGTTCTGGGTGGGTTTTGGAGGGTAGATTTGGGCTGGGGGGTATGTTTCTATGTTGCTTTGTTTTTTGGTGTTTTTTTTTTGCAGTCCGAGCATGGGACTTGCTCTGTTTACTTATTTTTAATTTATTTTTTGGTATTTAAAAATTAGGTGCTGCTTTTTACTTTTTAAAAAATGTTCTGGGTGGGTTTTGGAGGGTAGATTTGGGCTGGGGGGTATGTTTCTATGTTGCTTTGTTTTTTCGTGATTATTATTATTATTTTTTTGCAGTCCCAGCGTGGGACTTGCTCTGTTTATTTATTTTTATTTTATTTTAATTTTTGGTATTTAAAAATTAGGTGCGTCTTATGGCCAGGTGTGTCTTATGGAGCAAAAAATACGGTAATAACTTCTCATCCTCAGACGAACACAAAATATAATAGGACCTCAGATACCCTGAGTTAAAAGTGCTATAAATGAATCAAAATTATACCCATATCCTCCACACGGAAACATGTTTCATCAAATGTCTGGTTTCTGTCCACGAGCTTGATGCAGTATGGAACCCAAACGGAGGTGTAGGTTGTGTTGAAGTAACAGCTGTTTTCGCCAGCAGTTATATAATCAGGACATTCTTTCCACTCTTCCCATTCACTCTGCCTAGAATGATTGCAAAATAATTATGAATAGATGAGAGACAGACAGAGAGAGAAAGACAGCAATTCTGAATGTTAAGAACAAAACGTTTGGTTGGGTTTAGACAAGTAGCACAAGAAAATATGTGATTTTCTTTCGGTGTTAAATGCACAAACCCTTTTTGCTAACAATTTCTTGCTGATCTGTTTTCCTGGCCAATACTGAATGGCTTTGGGGGGAAAAAGAAAGAAAGAAAGAAAGAAAGACGGTTTTGGGGGAAGAAAGAAAGAAAGAAAGAAAGAAAGAAAGAAAGAAAGAAAGAAAGAAAGAAAGAAAGAAAGAAAGAAAGAGAAATTAGTTAAAAATTAGAGACATTGCAGAATGCAACAGAAAAACTTTAAACTGTGTAGATAATTCTGGCCACCACCACAAGGGCAACAGATGGGAATGCAAAACCATGGCATTTCCTATATTCAAATTTTTTCCAGTCTGTGAAAAAAAACCCTGTGTCTGTCAAGTTTTATACTGAGAAGAGAGCTGCAAACGTTTTACTATCACATTAAGGAATTTAGTATGCTTTATTAGATTTTTGTCTGACTGGATGCTCTTAAAGGTGCAGGAATTGAGTCAGTTAGAAATGTGTGGGAACAGAAATAGTTGGAATAAATGCATGGTTTTTCTCTCTTTTTGTAAAACTGCTGTTTATGTGTTAACTGATTCCTGGCACAGAAAGACATGGGGTTTTTGGGTTACACATCTGGCCTCTGCTTTATAATATAAGATACAGATGTTGTATCAGAAGACCAGCTAAAACAATACAGATGCGTGACTGCTGTCTAAACAGGATTTGCCCAGTGCTGGCTTCAGAGATGGCTTGTGATCTGGAATACACTGGGATGCCTCACCTCAGAATTTCAGGCAGGTTGTAAGCCATCTAAACCTCTCCAACAGAGAGCCTGATGACATAGGGAAGAAATGTGAGAAATACTATGAGTTTGGGGTGAGCTGATTTTTATTTTCCCCATAGATCACAGGATGCAATGGGAAATGCAAATCAGCCCAGAATCCCACAGGCCCAATTTGTAACTTTCCCTCCCCAACAGAGACCTTTCTCCTTTTGAAATCCTTTTACTTTAGTTTGAAGCATGTGATCACTTTGAACCAATGCATGAAGTAAAGCCCAATTGTGTGCATGCACACACATGCAGAGCACCTTCTCCCTCGCCTCTTGTTTCACGAGCTGTGCACATGCACACACATGCACACGCACAAACATAACTTAAAGCCAATTAATGAATTGAATGTTTTACTTGTGATTTCTGTATTTCATTCTGCATTTCATGTCTTTATCTCAGTGATTTAGCTATCTGGTTACAGAGCCAGAGATTAGCAGTTTGATTCCCCACTGTGCATCCTGCAAGTAGAGCCAGCCTGTGTGGCCTTGGGTAAGATGCGCAATTTCAGGGTGTCCTCAAAAGAAGGGAATCGTAAACCACTCCTGAATACTCTCTACCTTGAAACAGTCAGAATCAACTTCATGGCATACAATTATAACCTTCCTCTAGTTATTTTATTTCTGCTATTTCTGCCACTAAAATTTTGTTTTAGACAAAAAAAAATTGAAGTGTGTTTATTGGTTTCTCTGTACCTTTTTGAATACAGCAGTCGTATTGCTTCTGGAGCAGTGAAATGAGGAAGATCGCCGATACTCCAAAAGCATGAAAATGTTTCCATTTCTGGTGATCTGCATTTAATGATCTGTGGTCTTCCTGGTGGAGCTGTAGGAAGAGAAGAAAAAGGAAGGAAGAAAACAGGAATTCTGAGTATATTTTCAGACACCATATAGTAATGGATGGAATAAAACAACAGTTTAGACACCGCATCTGTATTAGTGTCATGCCACCTATACATAGTGGTGCTACACACAGATACCATCTTAAATAAGTTTGCCCTGTATCTTAAATATGGCTGCTCTGAGTCTTAAAGTTGTTATCTTGCTGTGTACAGTTTCTGCACATGATCGGGAAGCTGTATCTACTGTCCTGTCCCTTATTCCTGAGTATTCAGTGGATAGTTTTACTACTTTTTCCAATAGGACCATTCTTGTCAGCTCAATCATTATTGTCAATTCCATTCAACATTATTCTGGTTAAGAACGTTGCAATTACCAAAATATTGGTGCTCTTCCCCAAAGAGGGAGATCGTTTCACTTCCTTTTAGTTACTTACAGCAGTGGTCCCCAACCGTTTCCAAACTGTGGACCAGTTGGTGGGCCGTGGTCTGTGCATGGGGGGGCACCTTCATGCTTGTGGTTGGGTGGGGCGTGTTTGCATTTGGGCAGGGGTGCACACTCGCGCATGTGTGGGTGTGCTCATGCGCATGTGGGTGGGGTGTGCTTGTGTGGATGGGCGGGGCACCTGTGCGTGTATGCATGGGTGGACAGGGCACCCGAGCGGGCGGGCGGGCCGTGTATGGAGGTGGGCGTGCATGGGGGGAGTGTGTGCAGGGGGGCAGGAGATCTGTCTCTACCAAGAGGCATCTACCACAGCCTGGTACTGGGCCATGGACTGGGGGTTGGGGACCCCTGACCTACAGCGATTGGGCTTCAAAAGGTCTGTTGAGGTTCTGGGGAAGGAGTGATGTGCCATCTGACATGCTCCTCCCATCTGAACAGCAAATGACACCAGATCAGATGTCAGTTAAGCACTTTCCCAGATTGTCTGTGGAGGGTCAGGGAAAGCAAAAGTGCTTTTTATGTTACTCCTCTCTTCCTTTGTCCCTGCCATTCCATTTCTCCCTTCTCCTCTCTCTGCTTCCCTTTTCTTCTCCCTCCACTCTTGCTTGGAATCTGCAGGCACAAAATTCTAGTTGCAATTTCCTGGCTAAACAGAGCATGTCAAAAAGAATGCAAGCCCTAGGCAAAGGTCGGAAAGGTGCAGGGCAGCTCTTAAAGGGGAAGGATGGCTCAATCTAAGTAGAATCACAAGTGGACACGGGTTTTCTTTTGATCCAAACTGTGCCCTCAATGATTTATCTATATGCCATATCTATGTGCCAGCATGGACAGCCAAATTTCTAATCTACCCCACCACATACTAGTCATCACCACAAAGAGCACTTGTGCCACACATTGCTAGATGAGACCTCCTCAACTTGGTGCCCTGTAACAAAACTGTAACAAAAGTGTTACAGTTACAGAGTTGCAATTCCCACCATCAGACAATACATCTAATAACGCTTAGTTTGAGGAAGAATGTGGCAGAACGAAGGCAGGGAGGCAAAGGCACATGACTCTCTTGAGTCTCTTGGAATATCTGGTTTTATTTTGATTGTTCAGGTGATAGACATCTGATTACATGTAGGCATCCTTCAGTCTCAAGAGACTATGGTAACGTGCTCTGAATAGAGGTCTTGGAACAGCATCTAGTGTGGCTTAGAAGGCCAATTCGAGAGTGACAATCCCTTCCACACTGAAGACAAATACAATCTGTCCCCTGTCCAGCTCCCATTATTTTGCTGGTTTCGGGACTGCCTCTTTGCCTCGGCCTGCTGGACAAGGGTCTCTTTAAATAGGTAGAGACCGTGATTCACCACCTGCCTCCAGGCTGAATGCTCAGATGTCAGGGTTTCCCTTCTGTTGATGTCCATTCCTAAGGCCTTCCGATCCCGCTTGCAGATTTCCTTGTATCACAGCTGTGGTCTCCCTCTGGGGCGCTTTCCCTGCACTAATTCCCCATACAGGAGATCTTTTGGAATCCGACCATCAGCCATTCTCACAACATGCCCAAGCCAACGTAGATGTCGCTATTTCAGTAATGTATACATGCTAACAATTCCAACTCATTCCAGGGCTACACTATTTGGAATTATGTCCTGCGGAGTGATGCCAGAAATGTGTCAGAGACATCTGATTATTATTTTGAGAAAATACTTCCAGGTCATAAACAAGCTGCATTTCCTATTCTTAATTATTTTAGTTATCTTCGAGGAATGGTTAATTTTGTCCATTGATAGTCACTAGACAGAATATTTACTGTTTCTAAAACCTACCATGATTGCTTTTGAAGCTGAAAGCTGGTTAATCAATTACAAAAGAAGAAGATCCACAGAAGAGATAAATTCAGGTGAAGGTCCCTGATTTGGAAGGGGTTGCAGAATCTCTTGTAACATACTTTGAGCTTTGATACATTTGTTTTGCCCTCCAGAGGCTGAAGTGAAAGGTATTCTTATTCCACAGCAATTTTTGCTGCACTGGCGCTGTCCTTTCTCATTCTATTCCTGTGGATATTTAATGGTTTCAGTGCACACAGTTCAAGAGCCCTCATTGACTCTGCCCATGCTATTTATGACTACAGGATTCGAGGTTGTGAAAGCTCTAAACACTTATTTCAAAAGTGTTACATTATGCCTTCCCCCCCACCCCTTGCAGCTTTGGTGGAAGTAGAAAAATAACACATTGTACACAATATATCAGTGTGCCGTGATAAAACTCTGCAAACATTCAGCCCTCAGCATGGCACAAAACCAATATCATCCATGAAATATTTAGCAGGCTGATAACAACAGAGTATCTTTCTTCACTTTTATCATACAAAACACTACCCGCTGTGTAATTTCTATGTAGCCTACAACATGTTATATTGCTGTGAACAAAGGGGAAATGTGATTCAGGGTATGTCTAGCACCAAACAGGTAGAAGAGGTAACCACACTACTCTGTGCTAGCATATCAGGCAAAAACAAAAAAAAATGACAGAATTAAGAAGACAAAAATATTGTGGCACCTTAAAGACTAACCGCTTTATTTTAATGTGAGCTTTCATAGCTGGGTCCACTTCCTTAGAAATAAGAATCTCTTATGTCTGAGGAAGTGGTACACAAAATCTCACATTAAAATATAGCAGTTGTCTTTAAGTAAGGTGGCACAACATTTTAATCTTCTTTATTTTTTAATTTTCTTTTGTTTTTGCCTGATGTACTAAACAATTTGTTTCCCCTATATTATTGAGGATAACATTGGTTGAGAGACAGCCAGATGACAGTCAAGAAGCCTGAATATTGCAATAAGGATGATATTACATTTTCAGGGGTTTTATTGCAGAGGCCATTCCCAAGGCCATTGGGAACCTCTACTAAACTGGTCCACCTGTTTCTAAAAGAGTATCTATATAGGTATGCTGGAGGTTATGTCCCATTGAACAGCACGGGAACAAAACAGAACTGTGCATAACATCTTTGACCAGTGACCAAGGGAAGAAGCGGTATTCCCCTGCCATCATCGCCTTCCCCATCCATCCTTTATGAGCAATGAATGGACAGGGTCACCACTAATCTCTGTTCCTTTGAAGCAGTCCAGAAGGACACCATGATGGATGGTACTGAGTGTCAAAGAAATCTAGGAAAATAAATGGAATATGTAGCACCTGTCTAGAGCATGGTGAGCAAACTACAGCCACTGGGCTCATCAGACTCTCACCCCCCCGACAAAAAAAAAATGGCTGAATTCTCATCTTTCCAGTTGTTCGCAAGGGGCCTGTGAGGTACACCACCAAAATGTAACTATTTTTTTAAAAAAAAACTACAGAGGAGATCCAGCCATTTATAGTCTCATATTTTTGACATTATGGCAGTCTGTCGCATCCTCCGAGGATCCAAGGGGCAGGCAATTGCCCCCCTCCCCTCGAGAACTGTCAAAGTTGCCCACCTTGATAGATACCAAGATTTTAGATTCTACTTTTTTGATTGGCAGTGATGACATTACAAATCCGAGTAAAAACTTTTACCTACAAGGTGACAAAGAATACTTTTCTTTTTCATTCTTGGTCAGCCACAGATTGGCTAAACAACTATATCACCTATAATATATATGTTGCCATCAGTATACATAGTACTTTATGAATGCTGTAGTGCTGGTCCCTGCCCTGAGAAAGTTGCAATCTAAAATTCAGTACAGAATAACAGAACAAGGGGAGGAAAAGAGAGGCACAGGTAAGCAGAGAAGGAATATTTGGCTCTTTCAGTCACAATGCTTAAGCTTATTTATACGCTGAGTTACAGCAGGGTTTGGGTACATTTCCTGAAGACTGTCATAACAAGGGTGGTAACCATGAACAGGGGTGGACAAAATTAAATTCCCCTAGGCTTGCCAACCATCCATTGTTCTACTGTTCCAATGGAATAGTTATTAAACTACATGATATCACATTCACATATTTTAACTGTCTATCTAGCAAAGACATAATTGGTTAAGCAATAAACATTTGTCATGCATTTACATGTTTTTGCAGGTCCCCACTTTAGCAACAGTCTTTCAGATGGATTAAAATAAAAATGAAATGCAATCTGCAAAACAATAACACAGCCACACATTTTTGCTGTGACTTCTCTAGCAGGCTGCCATTGACAAACGGATCACTAGAAAAATGTCCTTGGGGTTGGCAGCCGATGCAGCCATTGCGAAGCCAAGGACAGAATCCAAACATAATTCTCAGAGCCACTTTTTGTTTTGTTATGACCACAGATTTTAGCTACAGTCTGAAGAGGATGGGTGCCAATTCAGTAGCACCGACTAACTCTGCCGTTCCGCAGACATAATTCAGGTTGCAAGAGTGTCACCTCTTCCCTCAAGGTTATCCTAAGATAACCAGAGCATTCTTTCCCAGTCTTACGCAGTTATGCCTTAGCTGCCTCAACGTAATAACCAAAAAGATCACAATACTGCAGCCCTATGCAAGTCAGAATGGCATAGTCTGCAATGTGTGAAAGCTAACCCAGTTCAT